AGGATTAGGGGTTGTGAAGTTTTGGCGTGCCTTACCGCACCGTACTACTACATAATGCCGTACTCCTGGTCGCTGGTGGACCCTAGTAGACGCTAGATCGAGGTCGCTGGCGAACGCTGCTAGACGCTGCCGTTCGCTGAATCTATGTCTATACTTTCCTAATCGCTGACGATAATGGTCGCTAGTGGTCATTTGTGGACGCTACCGCGAAGTATGAGCGCAGCTCAAACGCGTTAACTTCCGAAAAACGTTTGATCAGTGAGCTAACTTGCCTCTTTTGCTGCCTCCTGCGAGAGGTGCGGACATTAAAAGTTTCAACTACCGAAATCTTCATTCCTGTGTCGCTGTCGCTTGTCCGCTCGAGGATTTGTGTGTTATTCGTTAGACATGTTGTATGCTGCCTCTGTCTCAATGTAGTGACCTTCAACTCGATTCACAGAATTCATTGATAAAACTCAGATAATACACGGTAAGTAGAGTAATTCATTGATAAAACTCAGATAATACACGGTAAGTAGAGTAATTCATTGATAAAACTCAGATAATACACGGTAAGTAGAGTAAGTAATTGATAGGTGGAGTAAGTGAATTTATCAGTAGTTTTGCTCATTCTCCTAAGATAAGACGTATCAAGACACGAATCCGATAACGTCTTCTGCGCCATGCTGTCTCCGACGCATCACCTGCACCATGCATTCCAAGGCTGTCAAATGATCGACGTGGGATGCTAACACGGACGTAGTCACTATCGTCTGCGCCTGTATCGACAATGGTGATACCCAGGTGATCCTTGAAACGAAGTAGCAGCTGAAATATTTTGAGATGAAGGAGACAATCACTGTGTGGATTGAAGAAAATGGGTCTTACAACACTTGCGGAGCGATAGCTCAAACCAATCACTTTGACAAGGAATTTTTGAGAAGCGAATTCCTTCAAAACCAGACCGTTGATATCCTGAAAAGCAAAACTAATTAGTAATCACTTGGAATAAATAAGAAAAATAGAGGACTGTTCGAGCTTACAAGCCGTATGATAAGGTCCTTTTCGCGTTCATCTAAAACATCGCTCAGGAGGTTTACAACATCTTGTGCACTCCAGTCCATGATATGTCCAGCCATTTCCGAGTAGTCCGAGTAACAAATTCAACGAGTACGACGAGTAGCGGTGAAAGCCAATCACCGAATGAAGACGATAGCCCGAAACTTGCCATTGTCATAGGAGATCACACGTGTATTAGCAGATTCTCATTGGAGCGCGTTTTCGTTCAACTGTCGTGCTGCATTCCTTTCAAGGTTTCGTTCTCATGTGGTCCCGGTGTGCTTTGAAGTAGCTATACGAAATATGTGGGCTTGAAATAGAAGGTTACCAATTCTATGAAAAGTCGACTTCCCCTGACCCATTTTGCGCATGCTTTTACTGCATCTCATGAGGGTAACCGATCCTGGAGACAACAAACAACATATATTTTATAATTATTATTACTCATACACCGATCACTACATTCCTGGGATTCCACCGTAGAATGCATCTTAGTGCAGTAATTCTCTAGAAATTAAAACAACTCGTCTACTTATACAGACAAAAGAAATGGAACCAGTGAAAGTATAGTATTCGCATAGGAACTGTAAATATGCTCTTTAAGTCATGTGCATGTAACAAGACTCATTTTAACACCCTCGCGTTATAGGTGGGAAGTTGGGAGAGGTATTGGGACTTTAAACCACAGAAAAGATCCTTTCAGTGAAGCTCAGTTGAACAAAAACGCGCTCCAATGAGAATCTGCTAAAACACGTGTGATCTCTGGCAAACTGCCAGCTGTCTCCTTCATTCGGTGACTGCTTTCACCGCTGCTCGTCGTACTAGTTTTACTGGTTCTACTAGTTACTAACTCTGCACGAAAATGCCTGGACATATCACAGAATGGAGTGCACAGGATATAGTGGACCTCCTCAGTGATGTACTGGATGAGCAAGAAAAGAGTGGCATTTTACGGCATGTAAGCTCGCAGTTCTCTACTTTTCTTGGTTATTTGGAGTGACTTCAATATAATTTTGTCTTTTAGAACATCAACGGTCTCGTTTTGAAGGATTTCGGTACGTTACTGTTCCTCGTCAAGGTGCTTGGGCTCAGTAAGCGTGCGTCATTCCAAGTAAGTTTAGTCCTTATAATTGAAGAATTACTACCCTCATCATCCCAATCAATTACAGCTGCTCCTCCGCCTAAAAGACCATTTGGGAGTCAAATTCATCTACCTGGACCCAGATAATGTTGGAGACCGAGAAATTCGTGTTGTGGCCCCAGTGCGAGTATCGTTCGAGGACCTCGGAATACATGGTGCCGGCGATGCCGCGGAGACCGCTTGGCGAACAAGACGTCGCCAACTTTTCTTGCTAAGACGTAGCATATTGGGACGCTGAACGAAATGCCTGACAATTTACTTAACTGACGAACTGTATGTACTTACCGTGTACTATAAGAGGGGACTACGTACTCAACAAGTGTACTTACCGTGTACTTTAGCAATGAATTCTGTGAGTGGAATTGTACAAATTACATTTAAACGCACACAGTACATGACATACAGTTTATATAAACGCGACCAGTCGGGTCGCAAGTCAGCGTTCCCACCTGCGGCCTTCCCACCAGTGGCTGATTCCTTCCTACATCGATCATTGCTCGATCACCATTGGTAGAGCAAGGCAGCCGGACGCGAGCTCGTGCCGCGCTGCGCTCGCCGCCCCGACTCGTCGCAATATTACAAACTATATTTCAACGAATTTGTCCACAAGTGATGAGAAAGTTCCGAGTGGAGCTTAACATTAGGGACCCTCTATTCAGACAGGAGTACCCCAAACGCAAGTGGAATATTTACCAAATAGCCATTCACTGCTGGTAGCAGCTTACCCACTCATTGGTCAGCAATTTCCCCTGTCCCTTCTGATGAGTTGTGTAGCAGCTTGATGAATTTTCCTAGAGAATATAGAATTGCCCTGGGATATAACCCATATAACCCAGTAACAAGTAACCCAGCCATCTGCGATATAATTACTTTCACAGTGGTGGCGCAATCTGTCCCCATTTTAGCGAACGTTGCCGGGAACGAATCCAGTGTTATCGATACAGCACAACTGGAGCATAATTGGAAGAGACTCACTGAAAACCTCAAAGTAACAGAAAAAGCTAGCTGATGCAACGGTTTCCGGGCGGATGGCGTGGCATGTCGTGGCATGTGCAATAGTTCGCTGGATTACGGTACTCGCAGCGTCACAGAAAGAGTTGTTTTACGCTTGAAGGTGTTGTACTGAGTTCTTTTTTGAGCTCTGAGGTTCGTTTTCACGCTCTTCCTTCGGTTTTTTTTTCTTCTGCATTGGATGGCGTTCAGGGCTGGAAGTCGCGAAGAAACGATCATCAGTCAGGAGAGAAGGATTTTCTGCCTCAAGGATCAAGGGAGCTCTGGGGTGGGTGATGCATTCATGCACAAACGGAGCTCCGACAAAAAGGAATTTAGTATTCAGTCCCTTCAAATTCTCCTGTAAAAAACGGAGGGTGAAATCTCCTTCTGGTCGTTCACAATGAAAGCAAAATGCTTGTAGAGCCCGAAGGGTCCGTCACATTGCATTAGCACACTTCCTGTTCTCTGTGCTCAGAAAATAATAGAACTCCAACTCTTATAAACACAATGAGGGTCCACTGGCACGAGAAATAAGGGTTCGAGCAAGGCCCTATCTAAACGAAAAGGTCAAGGTCCTTACTATGGTCATGAAAGCGTCGTTCCATATGAACACAGAACTCTACAAGAGGATAGAAAGCTCGATCGTGTCTGCGATCTGATCGCTTGAGAAAACTGCCGCCTATTTTCTTTTTGTTATTGGAAGCTGAACATTCATTTAATATTGTGTATGTTTACAGGAAACCCGACGCAATACTCAGTTCTTACTTGTAACTATCTAGTTGTGCAATATACATGGCATTTGAGTAGTGTCCAACCTTCTCTCGTCTCCGTTAAAAACACTTTAGGGCATTGCCCTGTTAAGTTTCACTACGAGAGCTTATCCTTCACTGTGCCACACTGCAGGTTGTTAGGTGGAGCTTTATTATGGCCTGACGTTTTCGCGACTAAGATCGATCTTCACATACAGAGCCATAAAACGTGAGGCTTAATATATCCAAATTCGCCTCTCTTACACCGCCAAAGATCTCCTCTCCCTAACGTTTGCTGCTCCAGTAGTCTGGTCTGTAAACGTTAGTGAAGAAGGAGATCTTTGGCTGGTTGTGCCTTAGAAGATCGCCAGCATATTGAAATCATGAGCCACGTTAGGCTCTGATGAAGACGATCTAGTCGAAACGCAGGCCATAATAAAGCTCACTAAAACGTCGTTGTGCCACAGAAGTCACTCTATAAAAATGAGGCATTTGGAACTTTTGTTGCTGCCACACTATCATTCCGATTTTCCTCAAACTATTCCTTATTAATTCCTTTGAGGGTACATCTTTTTGGAAACAGTTGGAATCCCGGGTGGTCTGGTCGTTATCAGCATGCCGATCGCGGGTTCCACCGCATCAGCCACTGATCATAATTACTCTGCATAATTCCAGGAGCAGTCAATAATTTCATAACACGGTCAATATTCCTCGGAGTACGCAGTGATCGCTACCTCACCGTTGAAGTAGGTCGTTTAGAAATACCTGCCTCATTAATATTATTCCAACAATTAAAAGATTGGTCAACGCTAACGTGACCCAGTGACGTTTTGCCAGCGAGGCGATAATTTGGCTCGGATGTAAAAAATTCGAATGGTGTTCGATGACAATATTCACCACTTTTCGAGCTAATTTATTTTCATCATGAAGCTTTCGGACTTATATATTTGATTATCTGATCTTTTTTTAGGGAGATGTCAGATTCATTTCGATATTTTAGAAAGAAATCTAGTCGCGATTTGGGTGATTACGTAAGTTTTCTGGTATGAGTTTGCTTTTAATTGGTTAATGTTTGAGTTTCTATACTGCTCGGCGTTCGACAAGGCCACTGCATTTTGGGGACTACAATTTTTTTCTCTATTGAAGTCGTGTTCCTGACACCGCACTAAATGTAACACTTTCAGCTAACTGATGACGATGAAGATCTTGAGCTCCCCACTGATGAAGAGCCAGAGTCAGCGAAGGTATTCTCTACAGATTTTTTAATCTATGAAATGTTATGTTTCTTTCTTTCTGTGGCGCTTTTACCCAGGGCAGGACACCAAAGTCGAGGAGTCCTCGAGCAAAATGGGGGGGGGGGAGGTGTTCGCATAGGAATAGGGAAAGCATGATTTTTGGCTTGGCGTGAAGTCTTTATTGAAGGCAGAGCCCACGATCACTTATAATTAGCCAACCTTTCGTCTGAACAGGTAGTGTGAACTGCAGCGAACAACCCTGCATAAGTCTCATTTCGGGAAGTGGAAAGGTAGCGGCGGTAAGGCGCAAAGTTGGCATGCTCTTTCGCTGTCTCCTCTGGCCTTTTTCCCGATATCCACACTGGTTGTTTGTCTTTCGCATGGCACGATTAGGGCCCTATTTGCGGGGAGGAAACAGTTCTTCCGTGTCTGGGTAGTATTAGTAAATTGGATGTAAAGGCTGGGTAAGACAGCGGCGGAATGCGAACATGGTCTTCGAGAACCGAGTGGGTCTTACCAGGGCCAGCGGTGAAGGGATAACGTGCTGAACGACCAATTTCCCTCATCGGTCAGGCGAGCCCTGGTATTCTCCCTAACTCAACTTGTCTTCTTTGCATACCTTTCATATTCTTTCTAACAATTGATAGTATTTGTGATTTCTAGTTGCCTTTACATTTCCTTGTCTGGCACTTCAAATAGTGATAGCTGAGCTCTTGGATACGAAGGTTCAACTCGTAGTATTTTTGCTGGAATAATAGAGGAAAATTGTGAAGTCTTTAATGAGGGGTTCTCAGAAAGTCACTGCTCTGGTATTATTGTTCAGGGATAAACAACGGGACGATAAGTAGCTACGATTTCAGTAAGAAAGCTGCTGTAGTACTTGAAGACAATGAACCTTCGTTAATTTTGTGTTGGTCGTTCAGCACGTTATCCCTTTCACCTTAGAAAGAAATTGTAGGAATAAGATATTTCCCATTCCATCGCCTTTCTAAACCTGATTCGTTCATTGGGTCCGGCGAGGATGGCACCCCCTCTGTGCTCCCGCTGCTTCTTGTTTGTAATTCATAGCTCGTCCCTGACGACCATAACGTTATACTTCTTTCATTCCTAGAGCGCTATGTCGCACCTTTTGTGTTCACGGGTGCTGTTCTGCGTCAAGGAAACGTAGTGTCACGAAAAGATAGTTTATTTGATTTACTGCTTCATCAGTTGCAGAAATCGGTTGACGAAGTTGGAAACAAAGGTGGAGGTGATGGACGTCCAAATCCATTGAGTGGCTCCATGGAGGTAGTTTCTGTTACATTATAATGACAGTATTTTTTCGTCGCAAGGAATTTTTTAAAAAGTTTCTGTTAAGGATGTGGTGTGTTCCACGCCACTAACACCTGTTGAACCTTTTGCACCGGTGAGTTCTCAAGCCCGAAAGTAGTATAAAATTTTCCTATATAAAAGACTATCTGCCTCTTCCGCTTCTGAGGTTCATATCCCGAAGAAAGAGTGGGCGTGAGTGCATTCTTCATTTGG